TGCTAATATTCATCTAAAATATTTCTTTTATATATCTATTTCAATATGTTTAGATATAAAATGATATGGATTGATCATAGTGTGTTTATCTTTATAGCATTATGTGGTAGATCAGATATTCTCACTTTTCTGACAAGAAAAGTACAGAATAAGGGTGACACATAGGTGACCAGTTGTGATTTGGTGAGTTAGAAGTGTAGGAAGACTAGACTACAGGATGTTCATTGCTTTGCAAATAAGACCTTTTCAAAACTCTGGAGTCTTACTGTCCTTGAAAGTAGAATTATCGGAGGAAAAGAGTTAAAATTTAAATTTGAATAGCTATTAGATGCCAGGAACTGAGAATAAGAGCATAAAACACCTGCTTATATATGATTATCTGTGACTTTCAAGAGTATTCTACATAGAAATTTTTGAAGTGATCATATTATCTACATGTTATATAGTATGAGAATGAGGTTCAGAGGGATTATATGACTTGGCCACAGTCACACAACCAATGAATTTTAGAAGTAGAACTTGATTCAAGTAAGTTAGATCACTAGTCCTCTACTTTGTTTTTTATTTCGTGTTACAAGCTTCGGATCTAGTGAGCTTGATTTCCTTTCAAATGATCATAATCTTAACTCTTTGATTTATAGTAAGTAATTTTGTAGAACTATTTGTGGTTCATATATAATTATTTACTTTATTTTATCTAGTTAGCATTTCTGTGTACATTTAAAATTGCACCTTAGCTACCACAATCATTATTACTATACCTATTGTCATTAGCACAGAATATATGAGAGTGCAATAATAGACTGAACCTGCTATCTCTGTCCATTGTAAAACTTATATAAGTATATTAGTCACTGTGAAAAAATGCCTGGGAGATTCAACTCAAAAAGGAAAAAGGATTATTTTTGTTCATTGTTTCAGAAATTTCAGTCAATGGTTACTTGGCTCTATCTGGAGTCGTGTTGAGGTATACTATCATGGTGTAGAGTATATGATACAGTAAATCTTCTTACACTATGGCAGCCACAATAAAAGCAAACCAAGAACAGCACAGAGAGTATACCCTTCAAGGACACATCCCCAATGACATATTTTCTCCAACTAGGAACCACTTTTTACAGTTCTATTACCTTTTAATAAGACATTAAATGATGAGCCCATCACTAGGTTAATCCATTGATGATGTCAAACCCTCATGATATTAAGTTCCAATTTAAGATCGCATGATCCTCATGACAGAGTTCCCCAAAATCTATCTCTGAACATCACATTGAAAACCATACTTCTATCATTTTTTAATTTGATTGACATTCCACATCCAATTACACTAGGTAATCATACCCGAAGGTTCATGAAATGGTAACATGCTTATAAATAAGAGTTTGGGAGTATTAAGATTCATTACAGCAGGGACAGCTAATAGAGTTGTGTACATTAGAGGAGGCCTCCTTGAGAAAAGAATCTTTGAATGTATATGAGCATTGCATAAGATTAAGTACTATAGCAAGCATAAGAAACTAAACAGAGTTTGAAGGGACAGGCTGAAAAAGGGACAAAATGAGGGACAATATAAGTCTAGCCAGATTATGAGGGAGAGCATAGTAAATAATTTTCTTGTTTTACCCAAAGATCAGTAGAGAACCATAACATTAGTCAGAGGCTATTGCGATCAAATTTTAATTTGATCCTTTTTGCTTGTTGCAGCATATTGCAAGACATCCTTTGTTCTAGTAGAATAGTAAGGTGACTAATGCAACAGCAGAAGGATCGCTCAACTGGGGTCAGAGAAATTAAGATGGATAAAAATGTGTAGAGTTGAGAAACAGAAGACAAATTGAGTGGGGCTTTGTGAAAACTTCATCTGGAAACTGATGGAAGGGCATCTCAGAGAGCATGCTTTGTCAATTTGTTGATGTGGAGTATACACTGTAGAATAGGAACAGGAGAACTTCCTAACAGTTCACTTTAGCATGAGAGGAGTTTGAAAACATTTAGAGATATGAAACAGAAATTATCAAAGAAGCAGATGGATGACTATGTTGTGTGTGTGTGTGTGTGTATTTGTAATTTACAAAGAAAGACAATAGAAGTTATAGTATAAAATATTGCCTAATATAGTTTATTATAGAAGAATTGAGGTCCTAGAATATAGCCTTTAGGAAATCAAACTTCTATAGGCCATTTATTCTAATAAATGACAAATACCCGACAAAAAATGGAACAGGAAGTAATCTAGGAGTTCACTGTGTCACAAAGGGAAAAACTTTGTGAAAGAAGAAAAGACAAATGATGTTACATACCAAAAATGTCAAGTAAAATTAAGGTGGATAAATATCCTTTGACCTCAGATGCAAGGAATTCACTGGCAAACTTAATGAGAGTTCTTTCTGTGATTTGAAAGAGGTGGAATCCAAATCAAGGAAAGTTGAGAAGAAAAATGAAGAGGGTAAACTTTATCTTTTATAAATTATCTTCTAGATCTGAAATAGTATGGTGTCATAATTTTGTGCTACTAGCTGAGTGTCTCTGTGTTACAACTCACTATATTTACCTCCTCTGGTGTGTAATGTGGGGGTTAAAATTTGTTTTACTCGGGGCATCATTACAATCTTATATTTGGGACAAATCATTTTCTTTCACTTTTATCTCTATTTTGGAAATGTTTTTAAGCACACAGACACCTCATATATGATTTTTATATATAGAATCTACTGAACAAATACATTTCTGGGAATTGATTTTATTTTGTTTGACATATCAGGCCTTCAGGGAAACAGCAGGTCTAGAGTGTCTATGTGGATGAACTTGGTAGTGAGCAGATTTGAAGCTGGAGTACAGGTATGTCTGATCACAGCATCATATAGTTTTTTGTTTAAAATGAATCACTTTTTTTCTAGGTTTAAGAATTATGAAAACGAATGCATGGAATTGATTTTGAATGTAAGAAGTATGCATAGCCACTGCTGCATTCTATCTGAGAAAAAGTTCACAAAGTCTCACTGTCTGGGCGGTGTAAAATCCTGGTGAAAGGTTTTTTGGAGCCTTGCTACTCAGTGTGTGACTGTGAGCCCAAAGCATCACCCTTTGCTAATAAGAACTTGTTAGAAATGCAGGATCTCAGGGCCTGAAGCAGGCCTGCAGTGTCAGAATTTGCATTTTGGTGGGATCTTCCTGTGTTTTACAATAAAAAGTGAAAAGAACTTGGATTTTTAAAAATCAGAATCTACCTTTGAAAAGGTATAGGATGCTTTGTTACTTTGTTCTTATATTTAAGCCAATCCAAAGAGAAATTTGCCATTTATGGAATAAATTTAATAACAGCAGTGTATTTTCAAATCAAGCAAACCCTATGGTGGAGTGCCAAAGTGCTTAAGGTGGTAGATTTCAAGAACTAAAATCACGTTCCTCCACCAGTTCCGGGTAGGATGTACATTTTCAAGTGCTACCGGTTACTATTGTTCAACTATTTCCCCTTCCTCTTTTTATCAAGAGTCTCGGTAAATTCCACTGGAGATAGCAGGTTACTTGATAGGCTTTTTGTACTGGATTTTGAAACTTTCATTATTTTCAGTCTCTTTAGCCACTGTGGGAGAAGAAGGGCACCACTTAATTATTCGACCTTCCTGGTGATTGACACCTGTAATGGGGGGAGGCGACTAAACCCCCAGTCTCACTTTTCTTTGCTTCTGTTTGTATCTATCATGGAGCACTGTTCAAACCAGGGCAGGAAAAGATTGCTACTGCCCTCTGCTGGCTCATTGTCTTTTTATTCCCGGTTCCGTATTTTATCTGTGACTTAAGTATGCCCAAAGAATTTGAATCACTCAACAGTAGAGCGAACTTTCCCAAGTAGGGAGATAGATCTTCTGGGAACAAGAGGCTAAAATCAAAACAAAACGCTCAAGAGCCGAGAAAGAAATAAACATATTCTAAATTCAATTGCTGATCCCCGTGAACCTCTCTCTCTCTTTCTCTCTCTTTTCTTTTTTCTTACACGAAAGCTTCTCTATGCCGAGAAAATGCACCCTCCGTGTCAGCACAGGACTTCTCTTTTACGCTGGCTTCCACTGACAAGATGTTGACTTTGTGCACCTCATTATCATTTCACCACTCTGGATCTTGTTCTCTGCTTTCCTAGTTTACTTTTCTGACGCTTAAGCCTCATTCGGGTGTCTTCTGCTTCAAACTCCTATCCCGCCTACCCAGAGGCAGACTACCATTTCTAGGAGCTCAGACCATAGACTCTTTCACCTTTTCCCTCTACCCGGACGCTTGTCGTCATCATACCCCTTTCAGTAGTCCTCATCAAAGGACCAGTCACTCTTTACATTTCAACAGCTGGCGCATCTCCTCTTGAATGCCTCTCTCCGACCCCCGCCCCAAGCTACTGAAAAAGGAAACATGCGCACTTCAGAGCTAGGAGCTGTCCGAGTCCTGAAATTTATAGGCTGGGTAAGATCACGTCTCCGTCTCTTTCTGTAGCCCTCATTCCAGCACAGGATCTCAGTAATTTTTCCCTCTTTCCCCCAAACACTCCCACCCACAGAGACCTTTCTTCTCCCTCATTTAGAACTTCTTTTAAAAAGAGAACATTTCCTAAAGAAAGAGGCTTTGCTGAATAGAAAAGATATAAAACAAAAGCCACAGCAGCCCGACTTCCAGCCTGGCATTGTCACCAGCCCCCTTTGCATGGTGATGCGATTAAGGTAGCAGCATTTTTATTATTCAGGAAAAGCAGCTAGGGGATTCATCAGTTCTGAGGCTTTGTCTCTCCTGAGATAACTGATGGTCCCGAGTCTTGGTTTGACCTGACCATGATGCCCAGGACTGGCACTTTTTATTTTTTCTCAGCAAACTGTACAACCCCAAATCTCTTTTTGATTTTCAAGGAAACTAGATTCCTGCCAGATTTTGAATCTGGACAATAAATAGACACTTTGTCGTAGTCTTCTTTCTGGAATCATTTCGGGATATTTTCCACAAGGATCACAGAAACAGGAATGAATCGGAAGCTAGTGAACATTTTGACAGCCTTGTTTGCATTTTTCTTAGGGACAAACCACTTCAGGTAGGTAAAATGATTTTGCATGCTGATATTTTCCACCTGAAAACTGTTTAAAAGAGAAAGTATGCAATGCTCTGTTTGTTTGTTCCCTGCATCATACTATTTTAATGTTGTAGAGGAGAGTTTGGTTTCTTTTGTTCATTTAAAAAGCTTAATTATGGTGGGAGGGAGGCAACTGTTCAAAAAAGCAAGTTTTCTGTGGCATAGCTGCACTCTGTACATTTCAACACACATTTTGTGACAGTCAATGTGATGTTACGATTAGACTAGTGAGTTGTGTGCTCTTTACATTTCTATATAAGGTTGATATCTTTTGCTTTGAAATTCTTCAGGAAGTCATTTAAATGAATTATTGGGTGCAATGTTCTTTTTTCATATGGTGGAAGTGATTGGATTAGTTTCCCAAGAGTATGCTTATTTTATGTAAAGTAAATAAGAACCTTGATTCTCAGCCAACTTGGGACTTCTGTTATATTTCACCAACTAAGAGCAGACCATGAAATCTATAGTTTAGGATTTTTTCAGGTAGTAAATATCTTTAACAACTCCATCCTACTGTTCAGTCTACTTAAGAATTGATTGCATACCAAAATTTAATTAAAATGGCATCTTTGCATTTATGCCTCTATGAGAAATGGGGTACGTATAATTAAAACAAATGAGAAGTCATTATTTGCATGCTTGTATTTTCAAATAATTTGCTAATTGTGAAACCAATTAATACCTCAAATATCAATTTTTATTACCAGTGAGTGAAATAGCTTGTTAATGGCATAGAATCTAAGACAGCCTAGACATAAAATTCTATTAAAACAAAAATACAGGACATTTAATGTTTTACAAGATTTTATCATATTTTTTCACAGAACCAAGAGAAATTGAACACATAGAAAAAATGATAGGAGTACTGGGAAAACCCACTATGTTCCTTTCTGATTTACACCTCTTACTATCATTAAGAAAGATGTGTAGGCTGGGTTTTTATTAGAGTCATCACCATCATTACCATCATCATCATTGGCCTCACCCCCAACCATCATCATAATAAAATAAGACTTGTTTAATCAGATGAATCTGCATATTGGAATGTGAGTATTTCTGGATGACTGTACCAATTTTTAACTCTCACCAAATGTTCATAAAATCTTTACACTTATAATTAATGCCTCTGATTTGCTGGCATGAGTGTTGTATTATCTTAATGGCATAATTAACAAATTATTTAAAATAAATTCACACACACACACACACACACATATATATATATATATATATGTACACAAAAAACACTTTAGTGATATTCAGTCAACTATCAATGTATTGTGAAAGAATTCACTTTGGTACAAATCAAATATGCCATTTTACATGCTTCTTATGACTTCTAATATGGATATGAATATCTGAGAATTTTTCAGTCATCCTTTACTGGTATTGATAATGTAAAAGGTACACTGGTGTAGAAATGGTTTTCCAGTAATGCTTTATTGGAGACTCAACAATTTATATGTCTATGTATGAATAATAACTGATAAAATAATTGAACTAACACACTCATTATTGATCTATTTTAAAATGGTGCTGAAATTCCAAGTTCTTTTATTAAACAGCACATTAGAAAAGACTAATGCATGATAACTTCAATAGAATAGTAGCAAGTGAAAAAAATGCATGCAATAATTTTATTTTTAGTCCATCTTATTATTACACATTTTTCATAAAGTATAGAAGATACATTTAAAGATGAAATGAAACAGTTTTTATAGTCATGAGGATATGATTTTATATTATCACATGAATTTCATGAACTGTCTTGAGTTCTCTGCTAATTTTAAAAACAAAAAAACCTTTGTATATCCATAAAATCTGGTACCTGAGTCTGTATACATTATCCCACCTTAAGCAAAATAGAATTAAAGTTTAGAAACATGGGTGACATTACTTTACATCCACATTTACTTTAACATCCACATCAGTTGAAGTTAACTTTAGAGAGTGTACAGTTTAGAAGTTGATAAAAACCATCAATTTTTTCTTCTTGTTATTATATTAAACATCTTTGCCAAAATGTGGTTCAAATGCTCTGAATTAGTTCTTAGAGAATGAAAGTGTAATTCTTGCTAAAAGAGTTCATAATTTGTTCAGGGAAGCTTTCTGCAAAGACCATGACTCCAGGTCTGGAAAACATCCTTCACAGACACTATCTCCTTCAGATTTCTTGGATAAATTAATGGGAAGGACATCAGGATATGATGCAAGAATCCGGCCAAATTTTAAAGGTAGGTTTCAGTGAAAACTTACATTGCAGCTTTGTGAAATGTTTCAGGTGTCAGAGTACTTTACACTGAGAAACAATTTTAGACTTATTACAAAAGAGACTTGCCAAGTATGTTGTTTGTTTTACTTTGGCATTTTTAAAAGTTATCTTTAGCTTGGCCAGAATGGCCTATAGAGTGAGTTCCAGGACAACCAGGGCTGTTACACAGAGAAACTGTCTCAAAAAAGGTTTTCTCTAGACTAAAACATCTTAGATTTTACTTAGCACTTGGCATGTTCAAAAACTTTTCTTGTTTTTATGCTATTCTACAAGTAACCCTAGTGGCAAAGACAATTGTCGCAATCCCTATTTTTCTTAAGCAGGACTGTGGCTGAAAGTGAGTACAAGGCAAATGACTTTGCCTGGATGAACATCTATGAGGAAACATGCCAAATTCAATGGTTACACCAAAATATTCAATAGTTTTAGATATCTATATCAAAGTAAAGTTTGCATTTTAATATATTACATGCTATTTTGCATACTATCGGGCCTCTTTAACTTTTAGATTCTGTGAGATGAGGCTTTAATTTAATATATCATATATTTCATATCCAAGTTACTTATATATTCCAGTTACTGATTTGAAATTATTTATCTGAAATTAATAAGAAAGATTATAGGACTCTAAGGTACACCTGTCAGAGATAACAGATGCTTTCTTTGTTCAAGTGGGAGAGAAGAGAAGATTAATTTTGTTTTTGTTTGTTTGACATTACAAAATAGAGTTAATAGTCTGTAGAAGTGATATATTTATCATTTGGTTTCGTTTTACTCTGAATCAGAAAAAAAACTATATTAAGGAAAAAAACAATTGTTGCTAGAACTGAATTGTTCAAATATTTTTGTTTTAATGCATATTTTAAAGGGTAAATGTCTTTTCTAAAATATTGAGTGTAACATAATGCACAGTATAGTGTTTGTAATATTTTATAAAAGGGGAGAGCTTCAATCTAAGTATTATGTAATAATCATGCATCAGTTTGGTTTTGCTCATCAATAATTTAATTACATTACTTTCCTTGAGTTTTGATTTCTATTATTGGCAAATATGAGCATGAAAACTAAATTCTAAATTTACTTCTTCCTTAAATGTAATGCCTCTGAATATACCCAGTTCTGAGCATATTCCATAAAGTTGTATATCATAATTCTTGCAAAACAAGTTATCTTTTAAATTGAAAATGTTGCTAAAAAGACAGCTAAGTTCAGTCTTCCTGAAAAAAACCCTTTAAGTTCATTCAATTTTCTACAATTTTGTGGCCATTGCTCAGGAACTCCATATTTGAAAGGAAGGTATATGAGGAACAAACCAAGAATCAGCTTTGAATAAGATTGGTCACTGTAATGATAACTCTTTCCACCAGCTGCTGGTGCTTTATTTATCAACCAATAAGACAAACATACACAGAAGGACCTCCCCCATGAGGTCACTCATATACTTAGAGACTCAACCATATGCCCAATAGTGAGTGCTTGGTGATTTGGAAAACTGAGAGATGAAATGGGTGTATGCACAAAAACATTCAATGGGAAAAGATGTTGCAGGAATAATTATAGTATTTGAAATAAATTGTCATTGGGTAATATGGATAAAATACTAGAGAGTCCCTCAAAATGGGGTTCAATTGCCCACTAAGCCATCCATACAAAGCCTCATTTCATCCAGATAAGGAAAACTATTCAAATGCATATGCATCTTTGTCTGATAACAATAATTGCTTATCACTGTCAAATAGCAGTAAAGCAAGCATTCATGTGACCACTTACTATTTTAATGTGCACATAGAATGAACCATCATTTTCGCAAGGTTTTTTTTTCCCTCTTCTGGTTCTTCTATGGATGTCACTTTATAAATGATACTTATGGTTCTACAAGATAAATAAATGAGGAGATTGAGGTCAGCAGTGCAAAATTACCCCTTTGTGATTTAGTAAATATGTAAAGGAAAAAATCCAGGAATTTTAAAGGGCTTATAAAAGATAAATAAAGAGAATATCACTTTTGATTCTAAAGCAAATGAATGTCACTGGGCTTTGTGTTCACCCTCTAACTCTCCACTACAAAAAACAATATTATTCCTTTGCAACCTTATTTAGATAGACCAATTATATCAGAGCATGTCAATTACATGACATCTCCTAAGGTGCTCTTTATTCTAGAGAGCTTCGTATTTCAATGTAAATGATCCTCCAATATTTCAAAATAAGGCAATTTCCTACCCTTGGCACACTAATGGGACATCATATGTCTAATAAAATGAGTATGCATACTTATGGATTGCTAATCTACCCTACACTGTAGAGAACAGGATGGTATCTTATTTTACATATACATACATGACTTTTTTGGCAATGTAAGGCAAAGAACTCATCCTTTTGTAGTGGAATAAGGAAATAAGAAATAAGAGAAGGAAATTCAGATTAATTTGTGAAAATAATTGTTTCTACTTAACTCAATAGATCTTGGGGGTTGGACTTTGGACAGTAGTAGACACAGTGACAAAAAGATCTTAACATAGCAGAGAGAAAGTAATTAAAATTGATGTATAATGGGAACTTGCAGTATCAAGAACCTAGGAAAAAACTACAGTGCTTATATTTGCTTGGTAATATTTGAGTAAGAAATTTTATATAATATGAAGAAATGAGAATCAATTAAGAGATACAATTGAATCTAGAATAGTGAATCTCTTTGTAAAGCAAATTGGTTGTGATAATTATAAACATGATGATGATGTTGACATTGACAATAGCAGTGATTAGGAAGAGAGAAAGAGAAATTTTTACCACAAAAGAATAAACACTGAAGCCAAATATGGGCTACTAAGGTAAGAAGAAAGGCTACTCTATGAGCCTTAGAAAGTCTCAGGAGAATTCTCTGCTTTCCTTGCTGCTCTGCATTGGAAAGAGGAAAAGCAGATGCAAATGCATATTTTTCCTACTGGAAAGCTTTTTTCCCAGTGTACTTTCAAGTCAGTAAAATATTGCATGTCTATTCCATGTCCCTGATGGACTCTGAAAGATGTCATAATGGGCATACATATATGAAGGAAGATAGATGTAAGCTAGGAAAAGAAACCAGAAATGATTCAGTCTTAGGCCCTGTAATTGAGAGACATTCTTAGAAGCTACAGGAAAAAAAATAGCTTTTCTGATGTGCTGAGGCACAAGTGTATAAACAAAATCATGAGTCAGAGTTGCCAATTGAATTCTATCTGTAAAACCCATAGAGATGAGAATCAGATCCTGTCAAAACTAAAATTTTCAAATTTTCCTGTACAGATGAAAACACAAGTATGCCCATTCACAATTACCTTGTCTTCAGACTGTGGTAAATGTTGATTCTGTATCAACAGAGATGCCTCTTTCCTCCACTTGGGTGATTTGTCTCATTTTTGTTGATTTATCATGGTGCTGTTCCATCACCCTATCACATTTGCCTTTGTCACTATTATAGTACCTTGAAGATGTCACAGTCAGTATTAAGCTTTTAATGAAATGCTCACACGTGGATAAAATGCGTTAGTTCTGTTTCTCTTCTTTTGAAACAAAGTCGTTATTTTAATACAATTTTCTTTGAAAATAAAATTAACTTCAAAAAAAGAAAAGAAAATTAACTTCAAGTTAAATCAAGAATCTCAGCCTAGTGTGAACAAACACATTTCACTATAGTGATTTGAGGAATAGGAGTTGGTGTAGATAATATTAGAAAGTAATAGTCATTCCTTATCTTTGTGCTTGTCATGTAAACTAATTTTTCTCATGTCTAGATATCTATGTTCAAAAGTGTGATGAGTGACATTAACACCTACATTTGCATTCAACATAGCTTTCTGCAATTTCCAATGAGTTAGTAGCTAAATAAATGTTTCATATATAGTTAGAAATGGATTGATGCTCTTCCATGAAGCCAAAGGTTCCAAGCTTTGTCTCTGGAATACTCTGTAACTCAATGCAGTTGAAGCTCAAATATGAATTTCAACTCTCATGGTATCTCCCTCAGTTATGGGTAATGTGGCTAAACATGACCATGTATTTGATTATATGGACATTGGAAACTACTACGAATTCTAAAACAGAAGGACACAATGTTTCTGTGTATGAGGCATGTGTCTGAAGAAAGTAACAAACACCCTCATGAACCCTAAAGGGCACCAAAACCTTGGTATTCTGAGATCCTTGTTTTAGTAGGAACTGCAAAAAAACATTGGCTCAGTTATCTTGGTAGGGATTATTGATACATATGAATTATCCATTGCACAATTATTTTATTCATAGAATTCCTATTCTGCTTTAACTTGAGATTTCCCAGAATTAATCAACAAGCTTGAGGTAAATTCATTTTTAACTCCTCCAGATAGGAAGAAAACACAATGCAATAATGTCAATGTTGAAACATATCAGAGTAATTGTTCAAAAAATATATAAAATGCTTGCTTTTCAGATATCCTATACATTTCAGTGTGAAAATATGAAGTATATAAATGCAGCATGTGATTTTTTGAGACACCATTTTTAAATTATGGAAGCAGCAATCATTTCAAGTGGACTAGAACTAAGCCAAATTACAAGATGATTGTCATTTCTATTAAGGAAAAAATGTTTGTCCTTGGCTATATACTGAAAATAGAAGAAACTGGAAATATCAGTAAACTAGGAGACAATTAATGAAGAGAAAAGAAAGAAAGAAAATTAGTACAGCTTCTTCTGTTTCTGCATTAATTTTTATCACATATTAAAACACATGTTGGAACTAACAGTAAGGCTTATCAGTTACTTTCTCCAAAACTTATTTGAGAGTATTCTTTCTAGTCTGGAATTAGAAAAGACAATATAGACCCCAAGTTTTAGGATTTCTTTTACTTAATTCATTTTTTCTTTGATTTTTATACATATATAAAACTCATTCTAATTACTCTCATCTCCTACTCTGTTAACCATTCACTCCTCCCTATACAT